TCTCCAGAGACCCCTTTTCTCTCCAGCCAAATTTCATGTTGTATTGCTAAGCTAGAAGTAAAGGACGCAACAGCATGTGCGCACACAAAGAGGTACTGATATCACATGCTGAACTGGTGGGGTGGGTTCTGCTGAGAAACCAAACCGTCTAGGTGCCTTGCTTCTCTGTGTGGGAAGCTGGAGACATGAAATAGCTTCTTGTATTGCTGACAGAAAGCTGTGATGCAAACTGGCATCATAAAATGCTTGACACAAACAACTTCCCACACAAATTTGACTTCTTGGCAGCAACACACACCACGAATTTAATGTGTGAAGTAGCCCGTGAGCGGTACAGGCAACCATGTGGGCACAGAGAGGTGGAAATAGTTTGTTGCACTTTAACTACATGATCAGAGACACCGGCCAACATAGTACATTCTTTTCCACAATCATCACACCCACCTGTCCATCTTCCACATCCACCTGTATGAGGAAGAGGCCATCACCATTAGAATATTCATCTAACCTTGAACACAAAGATTCCCCAGAAGTATCACAGATTCAAGCATCACTCATCAAATCTAGACTAATGTGCACTCCTAAGTAGAGTGGATAGCTGCATCAGATAATTATATTCATTGATTTATTAATTAAATGTATAGACCATGCCTATAGACCCTTTAGGTTTCTCTGGGTGGTGTACATTTCTTTAAAATCAACAATGAAATAATCAATGGATGTACAAGCAACCCATAAATAATATTAAAATATCCCCCTCCCCTTGCAAGTTTCTGGTCTTGAGTCTGAGGGTGGAGAAACAGCCACCATTTTCCTGGACCCACATCAGGTGATGTCTCTCCCTGGCTGAGAACCATGCAGCAGCCCCTCGGCCCAGTGCCAGATTTTCACAGCCACACACCCAAGATGAGTCCAAGGAAGTCAAGCTAATCAGCCTGGGTAGGTTCTAAAAGGGTCGCCATTGCTGCTGTCCTGGAGCCACACAATCCTGAGAGGTCAGCCAGAGGAGGTCCATTTCTTTCAAGTGGAGGTATCACTAGCACCCTGACACTGAATCTAGTCCTTTAACTTGTGCTGGCATTGCAGCTGTAGCCCATTTAAATAACAGCAAAGAGGGACACACACACACACACACACACACACCCCGCCCCAGGCAGGAGCCATGCTTTATGTTCAGTTCCTGGAATCTCCAGTTGAAAAAGAGCAAGAAGGCAGGTAAAGTGAAATACTGTTGTTGAGAACCCAGGACAGCCTTCTCCAATCTGGGGCTTTCCAGATGTGTTGGATTGCAACTCCCATGATTCTCAAATTATAAGGGATGTAGTCTAACACCTCTGGAGTGGGCCAGGCCCCACAGCCGATCAGAGACAGGGAGAGAATTCCTACTTAATCTCAAGGACAGACTTCAGGGGAGCTCTGAAAGGAAGGCAAGTGTGGTGCCATGACCCTGTTTCCCTCCAAAACTTCCAGAAGCATGCAGTGCTGTTACCCACCTAAACTAGGAGCTGTGGAAATGGAATTCTACACAAAATTTTGAAGGAAGTGGGATTCTAGAAAAATATTTTTCTCTCCCTTTCACTTCCACACAAACTTACTTTTATGTGCAAGCCATTTACAAATATGTGTGAGTCAGTGTATATAGTTGCACAAAGATTCCTTTCTTGGTTTTTTTTTCCTCCCTCTCCCATACACATTTTTTTTTATCAAACACGCACAAAAATTCTGATGTGGCACACAATGCAGGTTCATACACAATCCTGCTCTTTTGAGAACACAGTTATATGGCACACACTTACTCCTGGCATCCTATTCATGTCCTGTTCCAGACAATGAACATGGACACAGCGGGACACACAGACCTAATACATGTGTGTTCTCAGGCATGATAAAAGAGACAACCATGAAGCTGCTGTTCCCCACAGCTGCCATCATGCTCTAAGTGGGGAGCTGGCAGTGGGGCAGCACCCAGGACATGGGTCAGCAGTAGCTTGTTAACACTGCTCATGCAGACCACATGATTTTTAAATATACCAAGAGTTCACTTCAAAGTGGGACCCTTTCTCACTGGGCTCCAATATGGAATCTGTTGCTAACTCATGTGTTGATGTCCACTTGCTTAGAGGATTTTAATAGGAAATTAGACATATGCATGGCTAGGCCTGTCAACATGTATTAACCATAAGAGGCAGCATTCCTCTGGATACCAGATGCTTGGAGCAAAACGCAGCGGAGGCTGCAGCTTTCCTGCTCCGAGCATTATTCACATACACATTGAAGCGAGCTGCCAAACTGCACCCTTAGTAGCTGCATGTCTCCACCCCATCGCAAGGGCCAGCCCTACTATTAGGCAGAGTGAGGCAGCTGACGTGGGTTTCGTGAAAGGGCAACCAATGATGAGTCGTGTAATTTATTGATCTATATTTACTGCCAGGAAAGGGGAAAGGTACATAAGAAATTTCCTGCCTCTGATTTTCTGCAAGATAATTTGGACTAGCTGTAGATACTCTGCACCTTCTTGCTCCACCACAGGAAGCAAAATGTCTCGGGTCCATCCCAGCACAGTCTGCATGTTGAGCTGAATCTTGCTGGAGGGCTGCCCCCGCACACAGCCGCACACACACAGCCTCTCTGTGTCAGCAGCAACCTGCACACAGTAGCGACCAAGCACAGGAACCCTTTCATCAGGGGTCCCAAACCTCTTTCAGCTGGAGAGCTAAAGTCCAGTTCAAAGCTTTAGACGACAGTTCTAGTGGTGGGTGGGAACCTGAGGCAAAAAAGGGCAGGGCCAAATACCAAAGTACCAGCTGATTTTAGTTCAATATTCCCATTGCTATTTGTTTGCTTTACATCCCGCCTTTTTTCTTATAAAGAACTCAGAGTGGCTTCTGTCATTCCCCTCCTCCTGATCTCAGTCTTAACCCCCTCATGTTGGGGATTGCATGAGCGGAGCCAGCTGGAGCTGGAGGTCAGACTGGATGACCCAAGAGCTCCCTTCTAACTAGCTTTTCTCCCCTGTTTCTTACAACAACCCTTTGAGGTCAGTTGGGCTAAGGATCTGTGACTGGCCCAAGGCCCCCCATTGGCTCGTTTCAGCCTTTTAGAATGGAGGCAAAACTGCCAACGCTGGGGGCACAGGAGGCCAGACTGGGGCTCTTGGGAGGAAGACGTATGGCCCACACGACCTGAGCTGCTGCTTTACCTGCCTACCTGTGGGGGGCTGAGGCACGAGGTTCCCAGACTCCAAGTGCAGGGCTGGCGGCCGCCCACTGCCAGCCTCCCAAGGGCTTGCTATGCACGGCCCCCTGGAAAGGGCCCCCCCTTGGCAACCTGAGAGCCACCGTGGCAAACCCAAGGCCGGATTCAGCGCGCCCTCTCGAGTCGGAGGCGACGGCAGCCTACCCGCTCCTGCCGCCATTCGCCCCGCCTGCGTTTGCGCGCGTCGCTTCGCCCACCAAGCCGCTTCCGCGGGGGGGATTCATCCCGAGAGAGACGCGTCGGCAGGCGCTGCGTCCACTGGGGTCGCGGCGGAGGCGCCCACGCCGTGTTAGCGCGCCCCTCGGAGCCGCCTCAGCGCGGCCTTTCTCTGCACATCCCCACCCGGGCGTTTTGGCGCCAAAGAGGCCAGCGCTGCAGGCGCTGCTTATCTGCTCCTTCCGCGGGTGCCGAGCCGGCAGGCAGGCTCGTTCCCATCGCGTCAGGCGCGAACGGAGCGGTCGCGCAGTTGGAACGAGGCGCGCACCGGCGGCTCGCTGGCCCCGTGCCGCGCGCCCTGCCTCCTGGCTTTAGTGCGCAGGGACGTTCCCTTTGGAGAGGCTGTTAAGCATTTGCTAACAGAAATGGGGTGTGTGTGTGTTTCATCCTTTGGACCCGCAGAGGGTCACTAGCCCCTGCCCAAACAGAAGCCTCCCATCCGAGCATTTCCCCCCAGTCTGAAGCTCCCCGCCGCCGCCCTGCAAATTCCCTGCCGTTGTGTGTTGGATGCGCTTCTTCTCTTTTAGTCCCTTGACCACGGACGGGGCGAGAAAGTTCCTCCCGCAGGGCAGCCCAGACCTTATGTTGATTTAGAAGGAAGGTGTATTCCCGAGTTATATACACAGGATCGCAGCAGTGCGGCTGTAGCCTATGCACATTTACTCAGAAGTAAAACGCACTAAGTGGAACGGGATCTACTTTTAAGTTAAGAGTTTTAGCCTGTATTTGATGCCTGTTTTTCTCATTCACACACACGCGCACATGCACACGCGCACACACAAACACGCAGAGGTCCCTCCCTTTAGATTTAAGTACAACCCTCTTTGTGTGACACAGACGTAACCGTTTCGGGGGCCGTGTTCAGTCAGGCTGGCGCAGCGGAAAGAAAGAAGAGCCTGGTGACACCTGGAAGACCGACGCGTTGATTCCCGCATAAGCGCTCGTGACGCGGACTGCCCGCTTCCACCGGATTCCAGGCGCAAAGTTGATGCCGGAGTAAATGCGTTCCAGGTGTTCACGTTCCAGCGGTGTGACTGGCGCTCTCCTCCGCCCGACGTCTATGTTCTTACCGCTGCTCGGTGCTGTTTCGCAACGGATCTTAATGCACCTCCCGGCTTCGTTTATCCCTGGCCCCGGGATCCACACGAGAGCAGCCAAGAAGCCCACGGGACTTCACGTGTAAGATTGCAGGGCGAAGGCTGCTCTCTTGCGAGGCTGGCTTCCGCAGCAGCAGCAGCAGCATCCAGAGCCGCGGCGGAAGGCACTCGGGGAGGGGGAAGGGGCCTGCCTGCCGCCTGCCCGCCTTGCCGGAGCCGCTGCTGGAGCCATGCGGGGGGTCAAGCGGAGGCTGACGCTGCGAGAGCCCCTCGAGGGAGCGGAGATAAACTGAGGCGCCCACGGCACGCGTTTCCTTGCCTCTGGAGTTCGCGGGCGCCTCTGTGCGCCCCCTCCCCGCTTTCCAAGCAAACGGAATTGGGCCCCCTCTTTGCTTAGAAGGCTCCGATGACCTAGGAGAGTTGGGCTAAGCCATGAGACCCGACGACATCAACCCTCGGACTGGACTCGTGGTGGCCCTGGTCAGCGTCTTCCTGGTGTTCGGCTTCATGTTCACGGTGTCGGGCATCAAGGGCGAGACGCTGGGCGACATCCCACTGCTGGCCATCGGGCCGGCCATCTGCCTGCCGGGCATCGCCGCCATCGCCCTGACCAGGAAAACCGACGGGTGCACCAAGTGGCCGGACTCCCGAGGCGGCCCGCCGTGCGCCGGCGGCGGCGGCTGCTGCTGCTGCCGCAAGAGGACCAAAGACAAGGACGTGCTGGAGTTGCTGCGGACCCCGTCGGACCTGGAGTCGGGGCGCGGCAGCTGCGACGAGCTGGCCAAGGGAGCCTGCGCCGCCGAGGGGGGCCGGGCGCGGGGCGGAAGGGGCGACGCCGCCGCGGCCGCCGGGGAGCGCAAGAGCCTGGTCGCCAAGGTGAACCAGGAGGAGATGCTGCGCTACCTGGAGAACTGCTACCCGGAGATGCCCGGGAACGTGTTCGTGGCCGAGGCCACGCCTTACAGTGCCTTAGACACGCAGCGGGAGCCCGCGGACTTGGAAGGGGCGGCCGCCGCGGACCCGGGCCCGTCTTCCCCGGGCCCGTCTTCCCCGGGCCCGGAGGACGCCTTCTCCGTGGCGCCCCGGGACAGCATCATCGTCTGCTCCTACAAGGAGAACAGCCCTTACGACAGGTACTGCTGTTACATAAACCCCAGCGAAGAAATCAGCTCGGATCACGAGGCGATCGTCTGAACCAGACGGCGATGGACGAGGCGCTGCCTTCCTCCTCCGAGCTCTTTTCCCCGAGACGACTCGGCCAGGACTTTCCAGCAGCAACAATAGTAACGAACGCGCCTAACTTCTGGCTCTTTTAAAATAATACTACTTCTACTATTACTACTACTGGCTGGTTTTGCACTGCATGGGACAATCCTCATAGCTGTTAACTTTAAAAACCTGGTATGTGACTCAAACCTTTTGTGCCTGAAATACTTGATTTTATCTTCTTTTTTCCTGTTGAAAGTAATAATAAGCATGTTTAAGAAGAAACACCAACCTTTTCTATTAGGACTTGTAAGCAATGATGCCTATGCTCTTGTAATAATCGATGGTGTTGCGGAGGTGGGACAAGATGAAAATGCCAATGAATCTGCACATTAGTAGTAAAGCGGCAGTCAAATGTCTGAAGTTCTTCTTGCTGAAACAAGAACGCTTAAGGCCTTTGGAGTTCGCCCTCACCTTTGATTTCTGCAAGCCAAGAGGTGGGACAGTTTTCTTTTAAGATGCTTAAGGCTACAGGGAGGGGGACTTTCTCCAGTGTCAACATCTTAAGAATCAGGCAGGCAAGTTCAGCCGTTCCTGGGTGCATGTCTTGTATAAGGTCCTGCGCACAAGTCAAAGACGAAAATCAGTTTTAATAGCGAAGAAGAAAGAGTAAGAGAAACCATAAAGTTCACACTGGCAGCACAATTGCTAAAAGTGCAAATATCCTTCCCCTCTGGGCTATTAATACCTCTTTTTAAGAGCATGTTAATTTATATATTTCCAGCTGGTCCCCTCCCTTTCCTGCATATAATAAACACCATTATAATTCTATCAGGCTGAAAATGCAGTTGAAAAGAAAATGCTCACCTTTTCCCCTCTACAATGAAATTAATTTGAAGTCCGATGTGACTAACCTGCATCAGGGTAACATTTCTATGTTTTGCACTTACATCAAATGTTGGCTTTGAAAGGAAATACGGAGGCAGGTGGCAATTTTTAAAGAAAGACATCTGGACAAACTGTCACATTTTGACAGCAACAGCACAAGGAGGAGGAGAATTAGAAGTTTAAAAGTACTCCTCACGGTCCTATAGCACCTCCACCGGCAATTTTTAAAGCACACAATGTGATTCTCTGATTCCTGCATTCACTGTGACTACTCTGAATGTACTGTGGAGATTGGCTTCTTTTTAAAAATACCGATACAGTAAGGCATTACCTAGCCAGACCTTCCAGAGTCAGAGTGCTCTAAATAGTCCTCCTGCCAGTTTTCCTCTCTCGGTTAGAAACACTGATTGAGTGTAAGGTGTAATGCCTTCATTTTAGGGTGAAATGTAATGTAACACAGACGTTGTTGCATGTCAGTCAGGGCTTGCCATTTTCCCCTCCCCCCCCTCAAGCCTCCCCTCCCCTCCCCTCGCTTTCTCAATACATTTGACAGACAGACTGGCCAGCAAATCAGGCACCAGCTCTGCATTCAGGTGTGCTGACCATCTTTTTATTTGAAAGACACGATACGCATATTTATGTTCACCCCCCATTAAAAAAATAAAAATATATTTTTTAAACACTGAAAATCTCAGGTAGGAGCGGGAAGGTGGGCTAGTAATGGCACTGGTTCCTGGTCGCTCAGTGCTGTGCATGCAGTCTGCTGAGTTCGGGCCAGTGAGAGAATTTTACATTTCAACAAAACATAGCAAGTGCCCCTATTTCTCCACCATAACCACTCAAATTATGTGCATCTGTGTATACACATTTCTGAAGTGTTTGGGTATGGTCTCAGAATTCACTGCCGCAACGTGTGGAGCTGGACAATTGCATACAATGTGATCCTACACAGGCTTACTCAGAAGTAAGCTCCATTGGGCTCAATGGGACTTACTCCCAGATCAGTATGTGTAGAGCCACAACTTTAGACTTTGTTTTTTACAAGGAATAGACAAGTCAAGGTCTATCAGTGGCTTTTAGCTATGGGATCTCTAGAAATTCTGGTTATGATCTTTCTGAATGGGGTGGGGGAGGGGAGGGGAGGGGAGTGGGGAAAGGTGCCACCTCCATCATGCCTGGTGAAGCTCCAAAAATACCTCCTGGTCACTTGGAGCTGTGGACAAAATGCTGGGCAAGGCAAAGCAAGTCTTCTCCACCAAATCATCTAAAACACAATTGATTTCCATAAGAAATGATCGTGTCACTTGCAAAAACTGTAGCTCTTTTGGCAGAACAATCTGGAAGAATAATGTGGATCTGGAATGACAACAGTGTGCAGGTTCTAAAAGCACACTCCTTCACAGGTGAAGCCATGTTAGGCCTGCCTGATTTCATTGGGCGGGTTGAGCACATTCTTAGATAGCTCTTCTTAAACTAATCGGGCTCAGAATGACTTAACTTTGGCTGGGTTATACATGCAATTTTTCCTAAAGTAAATGGCAAAAGAATAATTGGTTTGCACTTTGGCATCACGTGGGCCGTGCATCTATTCAATTATCATTCTTAGTTGTAATAATGGCAACAATAACTTTCTGATGACTCAGCACAAAACCTTCTGCTTGGTGAGTTCCTTGGAGATTACAGGGAATGAATTGGCAAATCCCATGTACATTGTGTTTCTGTATCATATACGTGCAATATACATGTACTATTCTATTTTATATGTTAGACATTTAATCTATGCAGGAAGCTTTCCAAAGGTTAAATGTGAGGAACAATATATTCAATAAATTGCAAGTAATTTGTATTTCTCATGTCTTCTGTAAGTTCTTCTGTCCAAGCTTGGTTTCCTCATTGATCACAGAACTTCAAACATCTTCTTTGTAGACATCTTAATATTATATCATGTTTTAATTATAGAAGACTTAGTCCAGACAGGTTCATTAAACTGCCTGTGTTCTGTCCGAGCTGAAGGCATGGAACATTCTCGCAGAAAAGGATGCCTTGTTTTCCTCTCAGAGTGCTTGGCTGGCCATGAAACCTTTATGCACATTCCACTGTTCCGCAGAGACAGACAGCTCCTCCAGGGCTGTGTCATTTTGGGAAGCATTGTTACTGGCAGTTCTTTCAAGAGGGATTATCCGAGGGAGAGATGATGCTTTTCATTGTGGGTGTGAGCTTTCCTACTTGCTTATGCTAAAACAGTCTTGCCATTTAGAGTGGCCAAGGGGGCACACATGGGGTGGAGGGAAACAACTCCTGTGCTTGGAAGGGTAGCTGCATATACCAGACCAATTCTAGTAAGCAGCATCTCAAATAAACGCCAGAGCACAAAGATGGAAAGAACCCAACAGATTCTCCATGTATCAGCTCCTCCTCCAATTAAAGTTGAACATTAAGATTATTGTGTGCCAGATGCAAAAAGGAGGAGCAAACTGGGTAGAACCTGGCACAATCGATCCATATATCTGCAAATACCTGTATAGCAGTTGGGGGTGGGGCATTCATATTGAGAAATGGCATGTGGGAAAGGGATAAGAGTCCTTGCCTAGTCTAGGATCCAGATCCAAAATACCTCCCCCCACCCCGCACCCCATGTGTTTGGGTCCCATCTTACGATTCCTTCAAAACATTTTTTTGACACCTCCCTCGTGCACCTCCGACACCTCCGACACCTCCCTCGTGCATGGATGCTATCATTATGGCTACCTAAGGGCTGGAACTCAGGAAACATGAGATCATTTTAATTCCTCCCAAAGGACCAGTAAGATAATGTTGCAACACGGGGTATGTGTGTCCTTTTTCCAGGATGCTCATTCCAATCCTCAACATGATATACCCAGTGTGCATCTTAGTCCTCACTGGACACTTTCCCCTCCAGTTTGATTTCTTCTCAAAAAAAAAATACCTGTACTTCTGCATGAGGCCTGCTGAAACCTTGTATGAATAAAGCCATTTGGGCTGCATAAGCAACAGTTTTCTAAGAACTGACATTGCTGTTAGTACCTCTTATGATGTCAGGGCTGGTTCAACACATTTTAATGGTATCCCCTTCCCATTCCATGTATGAAAGCTACTTGGTTTGGTAGCTGAACTTTACTTTGATAGTAGGGATAGGAAAAGCGTCTCCACCTGAAGGCAACAAGCAAGCCATGTGGCATTCACAACTCTCCCCTCTAGCACCTCAGAATCTGCCACCCGAGGAAACTACCTCACTTTGCCTAACAGTAGTGCTGGCTCCGCAGAACACTAAGTAATATTTGTAGGTAGTTGCCCTGCAAGAGAGACAACTGGAAAAGAGTACAAGACAGTGTACTTGCCTGAACATATTTTTTCAACCCTAAAATGGTGGAAGGTCTATAACCTTCCCACAGTTTTTCTTAAAAATGCAAGAGCTTCCAGGAATGGTGGGGTGAATGAGGTGATTTCAGGAAAATAGGTTGGGGAAAAAGGGTTAAACCATGTGCCACCAACACTGTGATCCAGATCAGGGGCCTCACCATTCTTATCCCGTTACAGATACAGATATGCAATCATGTAACTTTTAGGGCTTCTCTACACAAGATTGTTAAGCTGCTCTAACTATTTTCAGTTTCCATGCAGAATTGATAAGTGAGCTCTACAGAAAGATCTTTTCCTTTCCTGCTTTTCTGTACAACTTCCACTTCAGTACAGTTGAATAGTGAAATTTCACAAGTGGGAAAATGCATTTCCTTTTGCTTTTTCAAATACTACAGCTCTAAAACTCCCCACAAAAGTGCTCTTGAGAAACTGGCAGGGTATATTGTTGCCTAAGGAAACCCCTGAGCAACCAGGCGTAAGGTATGATAAGCATACAATGAATGTCTCATGCAGCCTCAGACCCCAGCCATACATACCAGGAGAACAATATGAATCTACTTGATTGGGTGGCTTTGAAGATTATAGCAACACTGTTTCTATGAATCAATTCAACATTCAAAATAGATTTAGAAATGCTAAGTATGATGTGTCACATGGCAGATTAGTAAAGTTTGTAATTTTCATAAGCTTGTAAATTTTCTAGGGATTATTTCTATGAG